CCCCCGCCCCTCATCCAGTCCTGGGCTGTACACAGTTCTACCAACACCCCTCAGCCCCCATACCTCGCTCCTGGCCCCCCTATGCCCCTATCCAGTCCCGGGCTGTACACACTTCTACCAACACCCCCCATCCCTCTCCCCCAGCCCTCCTATCCAGTCCCGGGCTGTACACAGTTCTATCAACCCCCTCCCAACCCCCTGTCCAGTCCCGGGCTGCACGTAACATAGTGTGCGTCTACACGACAGAAGCCTTTATTTCGAAATAACATTGAGCTGGAGGACGTCTTACTCCGACTCCTGGAACCCTCATTTCACGAGGAGTACGGGAAGTCGGCGGAAGAACGTTCTTCCTTCCACTTCCTGCTGTGGGGACGGCGCCAAAAGCCGAGTTAAGCTATTTCGACTTACGCTACGCAATGGACAGAGCCGAAGTTGCGTCGCTGAATTTGCCTTTGCCCTGCTGGGTAGACGTACCCTTCGTTTCTTTTCTAAAATGAAAAGTCCCCGTCTTTTTAATCTCTTTTCACATGGGACCTGTTCCAATCCCCTTTTCTGAACCTTTTCCAAGGCCAATCTATCTGTTTTTGAGATGAGGCAACCACACCTGCACACAGTATTCAAGATGTGGGGGTACCATAGATTTATAGAGGCAATAAGAGATTTTCTGTCTTGTTCTCTATCCCCTTTTTAATGATTCCTAACATTGTTTGCTTTTTTGCCTGCCGCTGCACAGTGTGGCTGTTTTCAGAGAACTCCCCACAATGATTCCAAGATCTCTCTCTCCAGTGCTTATAGCTACATGAGTTCCCATCATACTGTATGTGTAGTTGGGATTATTTTTCCCAATGTGCATTACTTGGCATTTATCCACCAAAGCAGGACCAATCCCAGCTAAAGCGTCCCAGCCAGGGCTTGGTCAAGTTGGCGCTGAAAAACCTCTGGGGATGGAGATTCCACCCTGTCCTTAGGGAGCCCATCCCAGCGCTTCCCCACCCTCCTCGGGAAATCATTTTTCCTAAAATCCCACCCAGACCACCCCCATGTAACTTGAGCCCATTGCTCCTCGTTCTGCCACCACTGAGAACAGCCTCTCTCCAGCCTCTTCAGTGCCCCGTTCAGGAAGTTGCAGGCTGCTCTCAAATCCCCCCTCACTCTTCTCCTCTGCAGACTAAACAAGCCCCAATCCCTCAGCCTCTCCTCATAGGTCATGTGCTCCATCCCCTGAATCATTCTGGTCGCCCTCCGCTGGACCCTCTCCAATGCAGCCACCTCCTTTCTGTAACGGGAGGCCCAGAACTGGATGCAACACTCCAGATGTGGCCTCACCAGAGCTGAATAAAGGAATAATCGCTTCCCTTGATCTGCTGGCAACGCTCCTCCTAATGCAACCTTACTAAAGACCTACAGGACCGATCTCTAATCCAACAGGTCCTGGTCTGTTTCCACCTGCCCCACGCTCCCTAGAGGCCACGTATGGGTATATTCTGCCAGCAGCTCCTTCTCTCTCTTCTCTGCCCCCAGGCGGCCATGCCGGTGGAAGCTGTCACTAGCCTGCTGAGTGGCACCAGTCCACTTGCGCCCCGGCTGTGCCGGACCAGCTTGGCTGCGGTCTTCATGCTGCGGCTCGGAGCCTTGGTGGTCGGAGCCAGGACCCTGTGGCGGGGCGAGGTGGGGGACCTGGCCTGTAACCCCAGCGTGGAGAGCTGCCGGCACGCCTGCTTCGACGCCGCCTTCCCCGTCTCGCCCTTCAGCCTGTTTGCACTGCAGCTGGCCGCCATCTCCAGCCACGCGCTGGCCAGCTTCTGGCACGCCGGCCTGGGGAAGGGCAGCTGGCGGCCGCCCATGCGCCGGGGCAGACAGCCGCTGCTCTGGCTGCCTGTGGGCAGCCTCTTGTGCAAGGCAGTGCTAGAAGGCGTCTTCCTGGTGACTTTCCATGCGCTCTATGGCCACTTCCCCGCACTGGTGCGATGCCCTCCCTCCCCCTGCCCACCCGCCGTAACCTGCGCCATCCGGAAGGCCTGGGAGAAGGACGCCTTTAACCACTTCATGGCCAGTTCCTCCTGGGCTTGTCTCGTGCTCAGTCTGCTGGGGGCGCAGCACGCCGCAGCTCGGATCCTCCGCGAGGCTCCTGCAAGAACTTGGCCAAAAGGCGCAGGCAGGAGGCCATGTGTGTAACTGGCCAGGCGGTGGGGGACTCCGACAGCAGGGACCGTGTCCCTGGACTCTCAGTGCAATCAGAGAGGAGGCACTGATGTTTGAACTAAGGGAGTAACTCCCCCTGCTGATAGCACCAGTAGGCTATTATCCACTCAAGCGGCCCTTCCGATAGGAGGGGACAAGGGACATGCTCTGGGTGAGGGAGAGGGAAAGCGATGGTGGGGAAGGAATGCGTATAGACGAACGGGACATGGGTTTTGCCATTAAGAACATCACAGCGGCCAGACTGGGTCAAAGCAAAGGTCCATCTCGCCCAGCGTCCTGTCTGCCCACAGTGGCCACTGGCGGGTGTCCCAGAGGGAGTGAACAGAGGCTAGGGACACCCTCCCATCCCACCCTGGCTCACAGCCATTGATGGACCTTATCTTGTCCGTGTTTGAACCCTGTTCTTCACAACATCCTCTGGCGAGGAGTTCCCCAGGTTGACTGTGCGCTGCATGAAGTAAAACTTCCTTACTGTGGTTTGTTTTAAACCTGCTGCCGTTGCATCATCGGGCTCACACGCGAGTGGCAATTGATGCGACTCTGGAATGATGCCCAGCAGATCAGATCCTTGGAACCGTGGGCAGCTCTTTTGGACAAGGACCGTTTCTTCATGCTGTTTGGACAGGACCTAAGTTGATGGGACTTGCCGAAGGCCAGTGGATGCTACTGTGACACCTTTCGCTACCAGGATTTTAAGCCAGATACGAGGCAAGGTTTGCTAACGGGTAGAGCTGAGTGTTCCACTTTGCCAAAAGGGACTGGTACTTGACTTGGGGTTAAGGGCATTTCGGGTAGGAAAAGACAAAGCGCCAGCTGCCGATCTACTCACCTGGCCCCCAGCCGCATGCCTTAACGGGTGTTTACTGATCACACTTCTCACCAGTCATGGAGACATTAGCCTCAGCTTACAGAATGGAGGTACAGGGTAAGCGCGGCAATGTGACCAAGGCCATGTGAGAAGTCTGCGGCAGAGCCAAAATGTGTCCTGCCCATGCCTTAATCCCAAACCCAGCCTTCTTCCTTGGAGAACCACCCTGCAGCAGCAGATGGTGGACGTCGATGGCTCAGGGAACCCAGGGTTCAAACATATGTGGAAATAAAGAAAGAGTAGAGGCGAATTAACCCTTCATGTCAGGAAGAGCTAAAAGCTCTGATCCCAGCAGCCAAACCCACGCCCTGCTCCAGAGGGAAAGTCTTGCAAAGCAAATTTCCCGGGATCTTCCGAAATGCTGACCAATTGGGCACGACTCTCATCGCGACAGCTGCCTGGCCAAGAGACCTTTCCCAGCTGCCTGGCCAATACCCTTACAGCTCCCAGGAGGGGTAGCCTGGAGGTCAGGCGGTTTTACTACAACTGTGCAGGCATCCGTCATGGTGACAGCTCCTGGAGCCGGGGTAACCAGCTCGCGCAGCAATATTCATCCCAACGGCCTTGGGACGTGGTTCTGCTGGAGGTAGCGGAAAACGGGGTTAGCGCAGCGGACCACCAGAATCCCTGTTCCTCCTCGGGGGTCCGGCACTGCCACGTTGCTGGGTTGGCAGAGCTGTGCCTGGTCTCTGTGATCATGCAGGATGGCTCAGTCTGGCCGCCTTCGCGCTGGCACTGCTGATGGGTTGAGAGCGCTTTGCTGGCATTCTTCAGTCTAGGGGTGGGGAGCCTACGGCCCTGGGGCCACATCCGGCCCCCGGCTTGCCTGGATCCAGCCCCAAGGCTCAGGGTTAGCCGGTACTGGTGCTCTGGCCCTGCAGCACCCCCACTTTCCTCCTGCACCCCCAACTCTGCTCCTGCACCCCCATCCCGCTTCTGCACCCTCCCAGACCCACCAACCCTGCACCCCCAAAGCCTGCTTCCTTGCAGCCCCCTTCCACTCTGAGCCCCTCATTTTTGGCCCCACCCCAGAGCCTAGAAGGGCCCACAAAATCGACCCTTCCTGGGGCCCCCCCAAGCTCTGGTGCACATGGGGAGTAGGGGGAGGGTCTTTCTGCTTCTCAGTTGGGGGCCACATCAATGAGGTGCTTTGGGGGGAGGGTTGCTGCTCGCCTTTGTGCAGCCCCTGCCAACTGATTTTTCTGTGGGTCAGCGGCCCCCGGCCCCAGAAGAGATTCCCCGCCCTGGAATCAGCCCATTGCCGTGGTACCGGGAAGGCAAGAGAGGCATCTTAGCAGTGAATGCCTGTCCCCGGCCATTCATATGGAGATGAGGTTTGGTGCACAAAGGACACCAGGCAAAGTCAACGCTCTCCAATTCCTCGGCTGTTCTTTAAGAGCCTGGCCAGGCAGCCATGCAGGGACAAGGGGAGTGGAAGGGGAGGGGGCCTCTTTCTGAATCGGGGCTATTGCAGAGATCGCAGCTGGATGGGCCTGAAAGGGCGTTTTAGACTCCGCCACAAAGACCCCCCTTTGGAACGCTGCTGCTAAGTGACCCGGCGCCCCCTCCAGACTTCCCGCGAGAGGCGAACGCCAACAAAGAGCTCGTAAATCGCTGGCAGCCGTGATGAGCCCACGGACAGGCACCGAGGTGGCGGCGGTGGTGTGGGCAGGGGAGCAGCGGGAGGGGTACATGCAGGGCTGGTAGATGGAGGCCAAGCCGCACAAAGACACGGCCCAGAAAACCGCGATCCAAGCCCCGGTTAACGTGCCGCCTCTTGCCGTATTTCACTGTAGTCTCCTTGGGGCAGGGCCGGTTTTTGTCCTGGCTCCGGACAGCACCTGGCTAACCAGGACCCAGCTTCACTGCAAAGGCTCCTAGCTGCTGCCATAACACAAATAAATAATCTCTCAGCCTGGATGCAGAAGGGCCATCTTTTCAGGGGTGTCCAAGTCCCCCAGCAGCCCCTACTCCCTGCCTCCCCTTCCTGGTTCAGTGCTGGGGAGGGGCTCTCCCCCATACCATTGTAGGGCTGGGGGGAGGGGGGATGGGACACTATTCTAGAATTGTGGGGCCCTTGGCAGCTGACAGCCACAGGGAGAGCTGTTAGGTAGGGGGGATAAAGGGGACCAGCACTCTGGGCTCCGGTGGGAGGAACAGGGCAGCTGGTTAGCTCTACCAGGAGTCGGGCATCACCAGCCTTACAGTCAGCTCTTGAAGGATTCATGGCAACCCCCCCAAGGTGTAGTGTTGGGGGAACAGACGCCGCTTGCGAGAGCTAGAGAAACAGGCCAAAGGGAGAGCTCCGTAGTCTGCAGAAGGCAAAAGGGGGCCGGTTGCTCCAATCCCAGAGTTTAAAACCACGTGAACTTGAAATGTAGTTTAGAGGAAGCTCCCGAAACTCTCAACATTTCTCCGTCCGAGAGAAGGGAAGGACACCAGAAAGGGGCCCCCGTTTGTTTGGGTCTTTGAATTCACACACCCCCTGCCACAAGCAGAGGGAGATCAGCTGGTCCCACTTTGGGTTCCAGCCCAGAACCAACAGGCTCGGCCAGCCACACGGTTTGACCTGATCGCTACTAGACCAGAGAAGGAAAAACTGACGAGACCGAAGCCTTTGCAGGAGGACTGAAGAACCAGGATCTGAACACACAAGCGCTTTTATAACTAGGGATGTTAAATATCGATTAACTAATCAAATAGTCGATGGTATTGGATTAGTCCAGTGGTCCCCAACCTTTAGAGGCTCCTGGGTGCCCGGGGACGGGGCCGTGCATCCGGGGGCAGGCCAGGGGATG